ACTGTTGCATTTATTGCAGTTATCACAATGCAATCTATGCATTTGTCAGAACAATTACAGTTCTCACAGTGTTTCGCATGCGTCACAAGATTAGTTACATTTTCTACAATCATTACATTCATCGATATGATTTGAGTTTACACAATGTTTACAATTGCAGGCGTCTGTCATATTAATGGATTCAATTGTGTCTTTACAAAAGTAACACTTAACGTTGGTTTTTCGGTCTGGCATCTATATCTTGGTTTGTGACACGTTTTGATTTGATGGCATTCTTATTTGTATTAAATACTTTTATGTAACAATTCAGAATTGATATCATTTTTATTGGCGCTTATGCTCAAAGAGTAGAGGTCCTAAATTTATTTCGCTCTCTATGGAATTTCATAATATTTGTGGATTTGTTTTGTCAGATTCAAAGTCGGGCGAGGAGGTTGTGGAATTTCATAATATTTGTGGAATTTCATAAAATTTGTGGAATGTCATAATAATTTGAATTTTTTTGGTTTTTGTGAGGGGTCGGGTAGGTATAGGAGGTTTCATTTTATGCCAGGATCGGCACTTCCCTACTACTGCTCTCCAGAGAAAATCACCCCTCAAAACAGTCATGAGGCCTAAAAATAGAGCAATTTGGAGGGCCCCTGTTTGGCCCAATACTTTCAGAAATACAATCTGGCAATCCCGCTTATTCCATCCTCCTTAAACAACCACCCAGTCTACGTGCCACGAAATCTTATAATAGCAGAAAATTTGAAGGCATTTAAGGCAATGGAAGTGCATTTAGGACATGGTAAGAAGAAAATTAATTCGTACGTTCGGATTACAATTTCGTACGTAGCCACTGGTGGAGGCCACCACAAAAATCTGCGATAGCATTACCGTGGTCACCGGATTCGTTCTCATTAAATCAGCCAGAAACCTGACTTGTGTTTGCTTGTGAAAACATTTTAGTTTGAGGAATTCAAACATTTTGTGAGGCCAAGTGATTTTTTTAAACACATACACATTACACCAAATTGCTTGTTATAATGTAAACAATGATAACCTCAGCATGCGTTTTATGATATAAATATTTATTATTTTCTTCCTGCAACGGCAATTCTTCCTTTGGAAAAAAATCAGACATTGCAAACAAAATTGACTATAAAAGATCATTTTTTAGAAGATTATTTCTTAAGAAGAGGATCATTTAAAACAATCTATGAATGTATGTACTAAGCTAAGCAAGTTTGAATCAATTGAGCTGATCGATACACTTCCGATTCTATACTTCTTACTTCTGGTTGTTATAATCAGGATTTGAATTCCAGAATTTCTAGGTCTTGCTTGCCATTATCTTGTCTTTTTATTACAGACTATTTTATAATTTAATGGTTTTATAATTTAATGGTTTTGTAATTGATAAAGGTTATTTCAAAATCCCAAATATAAACAGACAGTTTATTTCAAAATCCCAAATATGAAAGATAAAGCAATCAACGACACACCAGTCGCAAAAAACATGCGTTCGGATTTAGTCAGTTGATTTTCCTTACAAAAAGTTTCGGCTTGCATTTCTGCAATACTGTGTCACCAATGTGGTCTATATCGGCTCGCATATCACCAAGCATGACCTCAATGTCTACATAGTCGGCTTGAAATTCTGCTAACTGGTCTTGTATCTCGCTCAGGTTCTCTAAAAGGTCTTGCCCCATTTAAATTAAAACCTTTATAAAATAAGAAGGCGAGTGAGTGCATTAATGATGGTAGGAGGAGCTATAGTCAATGCGTTGGCATTGGGTCCAATTTTTTATTTAGCAGCCTGTCTCAAAAACGAGTCGACGAGGAAAGAAAGAAACACGATTTAGCTTCGGAACATTGGCGCAAGAAAACCAACCCGGGGAAGAAAATCGAGTCCATCAGTTAGATTTTTTAAACGAACATATGAAACAAGAACGCGTGAGTCAACAGGAATTCGTCATTGTGGACGAATCGTTACGCGCTTATTCAGAACTAAGGGGACAAAACGTATTGCCCTGGCTACAAGAGCAGTCAGAGCCCAAGTTGTCCGATTTTTAGGAACCTTCGGAAGATCAGAAAGTTAGAGAATTGGTTTGGATTCTTCTCGGAGGAACTGCTTGAGTCGGTTTTTTGGCGTATCAGTATGGTTAACTTTATTTAAAATGGAGGAAGAATTTTCAAAATTGTTTTATAGCGAGCAAGGCTATTGAAGAGGCGAAAGTGCCATAGACCAGTTGCATCAAAAGACGGGCGCAGACAAAAGCGCGGCGAGAAGGTGGTTAAAAAACAGGCCGTGTGGCAAATTTATTTACCCGCACCTGGATATACACCCAGGCCAACTACTGTCGGAAAAGAATCGATCGAACCCAACGACGCGCATCAGATGAATATGTTATATTTAGGCCTACCGTGGGATCGAGTTAAAAGAAAAACTTATAAATACGCTTTGACCGTAGTGGACGTAGCTTCTAAATATAAAGAAGCAGAACCTTCAACGAGTAAAACGGAATTACCCCCCAATGTCGTCGTTCGGTATTTGTATTACTCCGGTGAGCAAGAAAGCGGAACTACAAGAAGAGCGACCAATCCCATCTGGAGCGTAGACGTTTATCAAGTGGAAAAGCACACGAGCCAACAAACGAGTCAATGGCAAAAGGTGACAACAGACCCTACTTTATATTATTTATTCGATAGGCCAAAACGGTCTTTTGTGCGAGAAGAGCTTCAAGTGGTGCCAGAGGACACCGAGTTACCGCCTTCTTCCGATATTCGGTAATGACCATAGGCTAAAGTATCTATCCCATTGGGCAGTAAGTAACGCTTGGTGTCTAACGGAGAAAGGCTCAGTTTGTTTTGACCTACCGAAAATAAGTTATGTTTGTTTGATCTAAACAACTGTTGTTTAAAAAATCCATGGTGCTAGTTTAACAGACAGTCTTTATAATTTGCGTGCGATAGTTCCTTTTTCCGTTTATCTCTGGTAACGCCTTTCGCTTTCATTTACGGCTTCTGTTAAAATAGAATACATTTTTGGTCTAATGCAGATGGCATCGACACTAATTCTCCGTCAAATTCATCCTTCATTTTGCCAATGACTTTTTTATTTGTTGGGTCGTAAATTGGATGATCCGGAGGGTAGTTAAACAAATCAATATTAATCAATATTCATATACGTCGTCGGTTTCAATTGCTAACAATAAAGAATCGGTATCTGTACAGATGGACTTTAATTTATCTCCAAAATGATGTTTCCTCTTGTAATGAAATTCATACATTTGAATTTTGGATAAATCTAAAATACAAACGCCACAGTAGATAGGCTTGTTCAACATGGTCTTGTCTTTAAACATTTCGACAAACGAAAGATTGCAATCAGGAAACGCGGTTACCTTCTTAAAATTTGATAATGAAGACAATTTTGTAGATTTCTTTGTATCTTCACTCCGAAGCAGATGACCTACAATATGGTTATGCGTGTCCTTCATTGATTTGCCAAACATGGTTGGATCTGACCAACAAATGGTTGGATCTAACCCGTAATTTTAAAGACGCGGGCGAGTAGCAAAGCATCTGTTTTGACATATAGGTCGTGAAAATCGCCTAGGTTTTTACACTTGAACTTGTGGAAAATTTCTTGTGCTCTTGTATAATCTTCTTGGGATAGGCCTATATCTTCTTTTTTTGTTTTTGTTCTTCCACCGTATTTTTAACATCTGGTTCTATATACACCGTTGTGATGTTTGACCAAAAAGTAAATTCAGCCGTAACAAAATCTACTGCCAGAAGATTTTGCCGTTCCTTTTTTAATTGGACTCTAATCGCCCTCTGTAATCTGTTAGTACCTATTGCCTTTAATTGTTTCAATGCCAAGTTTCAATATCTTTCTTGTGCGTAATAAAAAATTGAACTGCATCGTCATTAAAAATGAGCGGTGTTAATTCCCAATTTCGGTAGTTGCCTTTAAATCTTTTAACGTCGCCTACGTCTAATTCGCGGAATAATTCGGGATTTGTAAAAGCTATAATTGCGGCAATGAAATCTTTTTTTAAGATTTGGCCTCGTCGACCCGTAGCTATCGGTCGAAAATTATTGTCATCTGCCAATTGCTTTGACACGCCAATAGATTTGCGAGGTAAATTTTGAAATTGCTTTGAAGAATTTCTCACTGCTTGTATTAATTCCATGCGCTGGTATAACAGCAAAGGACGACGCGGTTGTGGTAGTTAAAGTAATATTGTAATTGTCAATGTACTTCAATAATAATGATTTTTCTCCGTGAATTATAAGCAAAGAGACCGTGTTTATAATGTAATCTGTTATAACTTGACTCGTTTTGATTTTATGACATTATTATTTGTATTAAATACTCTTATGTAATAATCAGAATTGATATCATTTTTATTGGCGCTTCTGCTCAAAGAGTAGATAGCGCTAAATTTATTTCGCTCTCTGTGGAATTTCATATTTGTGGATTTTTTTTGTCAGATTCAAAGTCGGGCAAGGAGGTTGTGGAATTTCATAATACTTGTGGAATTTCATAATATTTTTGAAATTTGTTGGTTTTGGTGAGGGGTCGGGTTGGTATAGGAGGTTTCATTTATGCCAGGATCGGCACTTCCCTACTATGCCTTGGCCTAGCCTACTAGAGCAATATCTTCTGAAGTCATTGGTTAAGCCACTAAAATTGAAAGGAAAATGAAAGATGAGGAAGTGAGCTTTAAATTGATGTGTCTTCAACACCTGTGAAACTTGTGAGCATTTTTCTGATTTTTTGAAGTGGGATTTTTGGCTTTTGTTATCGTATTGTTGTCCGAGGCAGCTTATTCACTGGTCTGTCAGACAGGCCTATCATGGAACTTTCGCTCTCAGCTAGCTGTTGCGCAAGTTCAAAGCTGCTGCTTGAACGTGGAACACGTGCACAGTAGACTGGTTCCCGTCCCGTGCATAGTCCCCAGACGTCTTACAGACGTCCTTCGATACCTGGTAGGGACGGGGCCAGGGATGCAGATGGGGACCAGTCCAACATGCACATTTTTGCATTGTTGGCCCGAATTAAGGTCGGTGAAGGTTGCCGCTGCTCTCCGTCCATGAAGTGTTGTCCGTTACTGTGACCATAGAGCTTGGCTGGTCAACAAATACACATGTAGGTTTGTTTCCATGTCCACTTATTTAGACCCTATGTTGCTTGAGACTTTTGCAAAGTTTTGTAGATGTGTGGCCAGGTAGTCTTCTGGCTTGGGAGGCCATGCAAAATGCTGCATGCGTACTACTACTACCTAGTACTAGCCCCACAATAGTGTGGCACGGACTCTCACTCCCGATCCGCCCTTAGCCATACATCCATATCCGTATACGCAATTTCGTGTCGGCGTATTGAACATTTCGGAGCACCCACTTATCATATCATCGTGGGCGCAATTTCCTTTGCTCACGAACATGATCCTTTACCTTTCCGCTTTCTGAAAACCATTTATTGAATGATTTCACTCTCGTTATTCAGGTATTTTCTAGTCTTTTTGCCTTTATCCATTCATTTATCCATGGGCTCGCTCTCACAGTCGCCATCTTTAAAATAAGGTCGTTGAACATAGCCCCACTGGTGTGGCACGGATCACTCCCGATTTAAGGATAAATCGGGAGTGATCCGTGCCACACTAGTGGGGCTACGTTGAACATTACGTCACTTGATCCCTAATCTTCTCGACGGCTGTTCCATGTCGAGACATGTAATACATGGACTGAGCGATAAGATACTACATGTACTGATGGGCTCGTCCAAAACTTGGGCAGCAGTTTATATGTCTTGATATGGAACACTCCACTCGGTAGAGCTAATCCTCCCCCAAAGACCCTATGGTATTGGCCCCAAAATGGGGTTGTTTCTACCATCCCTACCTCCCAACCCTCGACGATCCAAACACATCTGCATTCTCTGTGGACGTATGTCACACGACAACAGACGCAGCGTATTTGTGTAACATGTGTTTATGTCGCTTTGGATACCAGTCCCCATAATTCTGATTACTCCCACTAAGATTATGTATAGAGAAGTCTGGAAAATCTGTGCTCAGGGAACCACACTAATCACAAATTGGCTCCACCATTTTGCAATCGGAAGGGCAGACCTTTTACTTAAGATCTTGCCTCTCTTCAGCAAATGATCTGCACCTTAAACTTGTACGTGTATTGTCTTTCAAAAATGACTACAGTACTTAAAGGGCCCATGCAGACCTCCCTGAACTAACTGCTGTTTTCTACTTTCAATTGTGCTTTACTATGTCAGTCATATTATAAGTAATGATGAACAAATGGAGTAAATTTTCTTTAATTATGGCTTATTGCTGTTTTTCAAATTGGCTTTCTCAAATTTTTAAATTTTGACAAATGGCAGGGCTGTTTGTCATGTAGGTTTCAGAACCCTCAAATAGTCTGGCACCATTTCGTCTGTGTCAACCCAGAGTATCACATGCAACTTCACGGCACGGTATATATATTTATGCAAAATATCTGTACACGTGTCATGCGTGTACGTACGTACAGACCTGCGCCTACGTACATGTATGTATGTACGTGAGTACAAAACGTCAAAACATTCAGGTTTGAAGTGGTTGCTGCATAGCTTGGAGCTTGGCGATGGCCCAGTCCACTTTGCCATTTGAGCCTCACTTTTCACTGACCAAATTTTTCAATATTTCCCATCTTTTGGAAAATCGTGGATACTTGTGCCATCTTTACTTGTGTTGCCACAACCTGCAGCAATGCACCTAGTTGGCACCTGGTTGGCATTCTCCACAAATTCGACTAGTATTGTAGCAAACTTTTGGTGATGTCGAAATTGTGTTTTCGGACTAACCGCTCTGGTACACATACACACAGTGCTTGTGCTGGCGCCACTGGCCGATGTGGGTTTCAAACGTATCTAACAATTATGCAAATTTTCTATGCTTATAAGGTGCTTTTCTTGGGCCGGAGCCATTTTACAAAAAACTCTTAATAATTTTTTGTTTCATACGTAATCATTAAGGCTATAACTTTTACTGACAGGAAATCTTTTTAAACATATTATCTTCCATTCAAACTAATAAAAACACATTTCACGGGCCCTTTAAAAAGTAAACTAAGAAAAAATCACTTCCCTAAGCTTATGAGTGAGTTATTAACTCAGTACAACTATCGGTAAGTGGAAATTAGTGTCTTCTACTGGGCCTCACTTAAGCTTGTTGAGATCCATGTGCATACAAAGTACATTGTAGCCTATGTTCAGCAAAATCTGTACAGGTAAAACATGCTTGCTCAATGTGGTGGATCTGTCCTCAAAACAAACTGAGCATTCAGACACTGTTCTAATACTGCTAGTTCAGAATGCTAGTGCATTCGTCGGGGTCACAAAGAACTTCTGCTCATTTACAAATGCACACGAGATTATGACGCATAGACTTAGTTTTGCACACTAATAGTACATTACTATACATTCATCGCATAATAGATAAAGGACATTGGCTTTTGATCTCTTAAAGTGTTTATACCACTCGAGAATACTTCACCTGTTTTACAGAAATAAAATGAAATGTCAATTGTTGATCCAGGATTTTGATGTATCATTTGATGTATTCCACCCTGACCACCTAGGCCCTTTTCAGAGGATACACCCTCAGTCCTTCAAAATCCTCCAACTGCTCTCATGACAAAAACTGGGTACGGTCTCAATCCTCAAATCCTCCGATATTTTTGAAATATGTTTTGTGAAGGGATGCCCACTGCCTCACTCCTTCAACTCCTCTGGCAATTCCTCTCGTTATGTTTAGAGCAGTGAGGAGGTTTTCACATACATGTATATTTGTTGGCTGAACATAAACAACACAGGGTCTAACCCACAACCTTGAGACAGTGCATCCTTTGCAATTAGCAATGCAATTTTGCCATGCAGCCTCAATTCTCCAAAATCCTCAAAACCATCCAGAGGATTTTGAAGGACTTAGGATGGTAAGGGTTAAATTATTTTGAGATTGAAATGTGGATGTTTAAAGACCAAAGAAATTAAGTTGCATGGCAGGAAATTCTTTCATGGAAGGATATAGTTTCTCTGCTAAAACTATGTATAAGATATAAGTTCGGCTTGAGTGGTGAAGTGCACAGAAAAGAATGTTAAAATGTTGCATCTTATTGACTCGTTTCGTACATTTTCGTCTAACTTGATTTTGATGTTAACAATTTTATACATATTGTACCTATACACTAATTCACTAATTGTGAATTATTTTTCATACTTGTGAAGCATTTCGAGACTTGCTGTGTAAAACGCTATTTGAAAAATTATTATAATCTAAAAGGGATCTGGATAATGACAAAAGAAAAACACTGAATCACAAGCTCAATTTTCAGTTTGCATTACCGGATGACATGTTTTCATGGCAGATATTGAGATGCAGCATAGCAGTCACTTAGGCAGCGTTTGACTTGGGGTTTTACACTGTTGCCGTTCACTCAACATGGTATTGACCTCCTATTTGTCGATATCAGAAGCCTTGCTATGATGGTGAATGGGTTTGAAATGCTTCCTACAGTTGCTGTTGTCCAATGATCCTTGTGGTATACGGGACACA